CACAACATCAGTAGTTCAATACCACCAGCTGCTCCATGTGAGAAAGATGAGGCTTCTGTTCCAGCGAAGATTTACAGTCTCATAAAGCCTATAGCGTATTGGTTACAAATCGGGCTGTGAGCTGCAAGGTCAGCAGTTTGAAACTACCAGCTGTTCCGCAAGAGAAAGATGAGGCTTTCTGCTCCCAAAAAGATTTACAGCCTCGGAAACCCTGTACAGGGTCGCTATGAGTCGGAACCGACTCCACGGCACATGATAACAACAACAACAACAAAAGCCTATACAGGGTTGCTATGAATAGTAACTTATTCAATGACACTTAACAACAACAACAACAACAACAACAAGGACCATATTGATTCTAAAATCATGAGGATAATTTGCAGAGTATAATTCTCTATATCAGTAAATTATTGTTATACATTTCTGTATTTCTAGGTGTGGCAATGTGGATTAATGTGCTGGACTGAAAAATCAGTTTGAATCATAAGGTTGGCAGTTCAAACTCACCAGTTGCTCCTTGGAAACCCTATTCAGGGTCACTCTGGGTTGGAATCAACTAGAAGGCACTTAACAACATTTGTAACCAAAACTTTTTATAGTTCTGATTGTGTTCCCTTTTATGTTAAAATATTTGTAAGTCACATTTAGCATTTCTTTTCCCTATCCAAGTAATATTCCTTATTAAGAAAATTTTGATAATCATCCTATGAAAAACACTCCAAAGAAGTTTGACTATATTGCCACTTAGAATGCTTTTATGTGTTCAGTCAGTTTCATATATACATTTATATTACTTACTCAAATAACTTATACTATAAGTTTTAGGGCTTCTTTGAGAAACTCTGTACTTATTTCCTTACAGAGTCGTAAAAGAGAATTTAAAAGGCAATGAAAAGGGTGTTAACTACTTGAATAGTCTCTTGATGACACTGTCCATCACACACCTGCGCCTGTGGCTTCTGATACTTTCGTGGCCTGCCTTTGATTGTTGAAGTTGCTAAAATGGCTTGGTGATCTTCATAATAAACTCTTTATAGACAGACACCTGCAAAATGCATCAAAATTAGTATATGGAAGTTTTCACATGGTCAGATTGGGAGTGTGAGAATTAATCATTATTAAACAACATGCCTTACAGAGAAAGTATCCATGAGTAATTTTATAAATAAAGGGCTACAAAGTTCTGACAGCTAGACAGTTTTAGACACCTGAATTGCTATAGGATGTAGGCTTAACCAGTTGGAAAACAACCCAAACCCAACCAGTTGCTGTTGAATTGATTCTGACTCATGAAAACGCCATATGTGTCAGAATAGAACTGTGTTTCATAGGATATTTAGTTGCTGAGTTTTCAGAAACAGACCACCAGGAATTTCTTCCAAGGGTCCTCTGGGTGAGCTCAAACCTATAATCTCTTGGTAGCAATTGCGCGTATTAACCGTTTACACCATCCAGAGACTATGAATGGATGTAGGGAACAACATTTGTTTGGACAGCTACAAGTCCCAGTAGATTTCTCCCTTCCCTTCCATATTCTTCTTTTATTCAATCATACATCCCACTCAGGGAAAACTTTGTAGAGTATATAAGAAATCATACAGCTTTAACTTTGGATAAGTTACTTTGGCTTTCTGTGCCTCAGTTATAAAAATATGATAATAGAAATAAAAGCAGCAAACAATTTAGGATCGGCACTGTGTTTGGTGCTCTTCTGATAGCACCAAACATGTACTCATTCTTTTATAAAACACTTCTGACCATAAAGTTGTAGGAACTAAGGCAAATCACCTCATTAAGTTCTCCAGTAGAAATAGACCAATAATGGTGAAGTCTCAGAAAAGTGATCTATTTTGTTGTTTTTGTTATTATGTTATTGCTGTTAGCTATTAAGATCATCTCATGCATTACAGAGCAAAACTTCTTCATAGTATTTTATTATAGGTACAACAATGATTGTTGTCATTGTTAAGCGCTGTCAAGTCAGTTCTGACTCACAGCAACCCTGTGTAGAGTTTCCAAGGAGCTGCTGATGGGGTTGAACTGCAGACACTGTGGGTCAAGTCAATCTTGCTGTCCAGTGCATTATCCTGCAACACCACATCAGGACTCTATTATAAATAGTACTGCTACTAAATGCCTCCTATTTCAAATAAAACTCTACAAGATCTTTTTAACCTTTGGCTGATAGATGAATTTCCAAGATTTTGTGAATATCCCAGAATCAATTACAACCTAGCCCAGTGTCTGTTACATACTAAGTGATCAGTAAATATTTATTGGAAACCACTAATATCCTAAATTCTTTGGCTGTGTTTGCAAGTAGAGTTTTCAAGGAAAAGGGTATATACTTTTCTTCATATTCTTAAAAGATTTCATAGTCTAGGTAATTAAGAAAACACTATTTTAGAAGAAAATTTGTAACTCTGTCATCATGATGAGAATAATGAGCTAAGTGGGGAGGAAAGATATGAATGGGTTTGACTCTCCATCATAAAAAGATTTGGAAAAGTCCTGTGTGGTATCCTCTGGGCTGGCAGTTTAAGATTGCTCTTTCTGCCCACTGGGGAATTCCCATTTGCCTTCTGGGGATAATTACATAAGACTTTGTGGGTTTACTGGCTGTTCATCTAAAATTGAATGGATGTGATTCAATGCTAGAAAATTTTGTTCTGGTTTTGAAGGAATCATAGAATGTTAGCCCTGGACAATCTTTTCAGGATTTTTAAATGTATAGCAGATGCATTATCACCAACCCCTTTCCTGCACCCTCAGAAGACATCTCAAATCAGGGACAGCATTCTACTTCTGAGGCTTTTGAATCCTTTTTGAAAGACTTCTTAACATAATATTTTATGCAGTCATTAACAATTGATTGAAATTAATGTGCACAATGAAACCAATTTTCCATTCCTATCATATGTCCAGTATCCTCCCATTACAGTTGGAGGCATTAAGGAAATGTCTGTAGACTAGGCTTCAGTGCATCGTAATGAGCAATATTAAGAGCTGTGATTCCAAACTGCAAATATTTAAGTACCAAACATCATCTTCTTTGTCTCCATTGATTTTTTTTTCTCATTTTGTTTTAGAGAATGAAAGAAGAAACCCCTTTAAATTACCTTTCACCTTCTTTTCACAAGGACTTTAGAGGCAGCTAAAAGCAGGGGCCTAGGTGACTAAAATAAATTAGAAATGATTATTTTCAGTATTATTTTATGATTTCTAAATTTTAAGCTATAACAAGTATGCAAAGTTTTAGGCCTCTAGCTATTCTCTCTCATTTCTCAATAGCTTAGAAAAAGATAACATTGTAGTGAATTCCTGTACTTAAATTTAAAAGTTGCTACAGTTAACTATGGATAAGTCACTTATGTTTTCCTCAACTATAAAGAAGTTAATGGGCATTACATAGGCATGCAAAACTGAGTTCCCTGTGCATGGGAAAGAAATAATGGCTCACTTTTGAACAATTAAGTACAGACATGAATTTCTTCTCCTGTGTGTAAGGGGGAGGGTAGAAAGAGAGAGAGTAAGGGAGAGAGAAAAGGGAAAGCATATTTAAGGTAAAGTTGGGGCTTGGTATGTAGAAAAACATGGAATTAAGTATATTTCCACCATTCAAACCCATTGATTAATTACCATAGGCCTGATTTCAAAATTATTAAACATTCGTGTAGTTCTATAACTCAGAAATGGAACATAGAATATGAGACTTACCACAAACTTTTCCAAGTGATACACAGGGGGGAAAAAAAGAAAATTAGAGATTAAAGAAAAAAAAAAAAAGCAGAGATCAAATTACACTTCTGACGCAGGCTTTTTTTTTTTTTTTTTTTTTTTTTAAGAAAGTAAGGGTGGTCAGGGGAAGGAGGATTGCCAAATATGTTGCTATCCCTTCCTCTGTCTTCTTTATCACATATTCTAAATAAACTGGCTTAAATTCCATTCTTTTCTATAGAAAAAAACTTTCTTTCTTTCTTTTTTTTTACTCTCCTCCCCTTAAAATGTAAAATTACAGATTCAAATTAAAAAATAAGTCAGTATTGTATAGGAACATATTTATTGGCTGAATAATAGCTAAAGAGTCATTAGAGACGTAGGAGTCCACCAACTGGAAGTACAAGTTTCAATAAGCAAACAGAAGCAAAACCCTCAAATGAGAAAAAAATACATTGGTAACCTAAATCATAGTCATTTGGGGGTGAACCCAAACAGTGTACTTCTTTGTGATCGAGTGTGGCACTGATGACAAGGCATTGACACACAATGAGAGACAAGCACACAAGCCACTCCATAGTAGCTCAGCACATCAATGTGAGTGTGTAAGTTCACAAAGCAGAGACTCCTCAACTGTGGCCACTTTAACTTATCCACACCCACAGAGGTACCTCAGAAATGTCCCTCCAAAGTTGATTTACATGGTTTCTAGCCAAATACTCTTACCAAAACACAACTCAGAGACCGTGGTTAATAAATAAGAGGAAAAAAAAGAGAAGAAACAGGCAACTTCCATTGGCTGGCAGGCATGCAGAGCAGCACCTTGGACCTCATTTGAAAAAACAGGCAACTTTGCAGTTTTCAGAGAAGGCTGATGTGGAAAGGAGATGTGTACAATGTTTTCTGTTTCCAGGTAGTCTCCAGGATGGGGAAGTTTAATCAGTTCATACCGTGTACAATGCGTCCTTCTAGATGTCTGAAACAGGTATTTCTACAGAGTAATAAAGCCTTCTTGGAAAGATAGGAGGTGTAGCTTTACATTGTTCTTCCAAGGTGATAAATCAATTACAATCACATAAATAATGTGCAAAACCAAAAAATGAAACCACTCAACTCTCACTTTTTCTTTCTTTTGTTTTAGATGACTTCAGATGTGTTTTCAAAGTGCATATCTGGACTATAGAAATACTAAGTATAAGGGAAGTGTGAGCCCTCTTTTCCACTTCCCAGCCTCCACAGTGGCGCTGGAATTCCCTCTCCCTGGCTCTGTGCCCTTCCATCTACACTTTAAGGTAGTCATTTTTCAGCCGACCTAGCCGTGTTCCATGGCTTCTGATAGTGAGGGCCAGCAGATCATATTTGTCCCTGAGTCCCACAGAGATGTCCAGCGTTTCCCTCAACAGGGACCTGGTGTGGACCAACATCCCATGGAAGTCCTCGTTGAGCCTGCTCTCCTGCCGGCTGTCCTGCTCCTGACCCTGTTTAAACTTGCTTTCCAGCTCTGTCAGGGACTTGTCCGAGTTAGAGTAGGCATCCCCGATCTGGTGGGACTCTCGCCGGAGGTACTTGCCATAGCTCTCTTCCCCATCCAGGTCGTAGGAGATGCTCTTACTGATGCCCTCCAGGACGCGCCCAGCATCCTCTACCTGACGGCCCAGCACAGTGAACTCCTCCCTCAGGGTGAGGCTTAGCAGGCTACTGGTCTGGCTCCTGTCCCCCTGGGAGCAGCGCCGGTGGTCACTCACCCTGAAGAGAAGCTGGCATTTCTCTGGGTCATCGTTTTCCTCATAGTCGCCATCCGGCACGAAGTAGTGGTGTAAGGTCCCATTGGACATCTCCGGGTAAAGGGGGCCGTCGAAGTAGCCTTGACACAGGTGGCATAAGAAACCCATCCAGAGGAACTGCAGGAACATCATCTTGGATATTCAGGATAACTGGGGACCAGAGAAGAAGATGTTTGGCCTAAGCACAAGGAAGGGATACCCTTGTGAGTCAGTGCCTTCTTGAGATGGTGTCAGTCTCAACCCCAGCCAACTTGCTGTACCCTGGTCCCCTCTCCCCAGCAGGCTTCATGTGGCTATGCACACCAGCGCCTTTGTGGCACCTTTGCTCTGTGCTCTGTGGCTGGAGGTCTGCTGGCTCTTCCCAGGACACAGAGTGGGGAGGGGGAAGCCCTTTTCCAGGGCTCTGGTTGGACGCTGGCTGGGTTGCCCCACTCCAGGAGATCCCTCTTGCTCCTGGGAGATGGAGCCTGTAGCTGGAGAGAAATGCTATTATTGCCTTCTGATGCTATTTCAACAGCAGGACTGGGAGACTGGGAATGCAGAGCTTTTCCTTGGCTAATGATATTCTGAGGATCTCTCTGCTCTCAAATTACAGCTGGTTTCGTCACTTGGAAGCCCAGAACAAGTTTGGAAAGAAACCTCTCACCAGGTCTCGGTTATTAAAGGTACAGGGCCTCTTTTTAAAAATTGAAAGGGGAGACCCTGCAAAGTAAAGTTTAACTTGAAGGGCAAAAAAGAGAAGATAAACAGAATTTCCACAACAAAAAGACAGGTTTACTTATCATAAATTAGTGGATGAGTGAGTACACCCTGCAGAAACACCATTTCACTATTTAAAATAAATATCAGACTGGATTTGTTGGATCTATCTATTTTGATCTTTTAAAATTTGTGACTTTGAAGACAAATTTAAAGTGTATGAAATAGCCATTTTGTTTGGAAATAGATAAACTTTATAAAAATAATACTTTGGAAGCATAACAAAGTAGAAAACTGATTAATGTATTGTTAGCAGAACAAGGACTGATAAAGGGATTTATTCTTTAGCTTACTAAGTAAAAAGACAACTGAAATAATTGTTTAATTTTATAAAAAAACTGCCCATACTAAGATCTTGCATTTCATCTTTAACCTAATGCCTAGACAGTTAGTTACTGCCTCATTTTGAATTCTGAAAAGGTTTTGGAGAAAACCCTCTTTTCCATTTTATAGATGGAAACACCAAGGGGGCAGAATGTTAAGCAAGTTATTCATAGCCAAATAGGTTGTGATGCAGTCAACACTAAATCTTTTTATTTATTTTGGAAATTGATTTCTTCTTCCATAGTTCCTTTCCTCACTAAAACCTAATCATATTTCACGTCTTAACTATAGTAGCATTAACTCTGAAAGCCCTCTGGATCTTAATTAGTTCTTCCAATCATTCCCTCTACACCACCCTTAATGACAGTTTCTACTATTTACAGCTACACTTAAATTATATATTTATTGATTTATTTTTGGGGCTTTCCTCCCCATCTGTATTTAAACCGCAGGAAGTCAGGAACTGTGTTTACTTCTGCCTCCTTTATTTAGCACAGTGCCTGGAACAAAGAATCATATTGTCATGATTCCTCCTTCCCCCTTTTTCCAGTTTATCCTCTGTCATTGAAGAGATTCCAATTCATAGTGACCCTGTTAATTTCCAAGGCTGTAAATTTTTACAGGAGCAGAAAGCCTCCTCTTTCTTCCATGGAGTAACTGGTGAATTAGAACTGTCAGCTCTGCAGTTAGCAGCCTACTGCTTATACTTCATTCAACACTACCTGGGCTCCTTCATCCCAGGTGAAGTTGGTGGCTTGAAATTTATTGTTTCAACAATATGGTTGTATAGTTAGAGCTTCACTAGTGCTTTTATTCCTTTGTTTTTTAATGGAATATATTGCATTGTATTGGTTTATATGTTAACTTCATCTGTCTTCCCATTGTGTGATTCTGTCAAAGTTTGTTGTTATTGTGGTTGTTAAGCACCATTGAGTCGGTTCCAACTCAGAGCAACCCTATATGGGGCTTCCAAGGAGTAGCTGGTGAGTTTGAACCACCAACCTTGCAGTTCAAGCCAAGTGCTTATCCTACTGGGCCACAGTAATGATGTATTTATTTACTTTTATGTTATCTGTGATTAGAACAGAACCCAAAATTTAGTTAAAAACAAACAAAAGCCAAACTTGTTGCCAATGAACTGACTCCAATTACAGTAACACTTTAGGGCAGAGTCAAGCTGCTCCACAGAGTTTCCAAGCCTTTCATCTTTATAAAAGCAGACTGCTGGATTTTTCTTTTATGGAGTGGCTGTGGGTTCTAAACACTAGCCTTTTGGTTAGCAGTCAAAGTCTTAACCTCTGTGCAGTCAGAACTGCTTTCACTATATTGTTGTTTTTGTTGTTAAGTATTATGGAGTTGGTAACAACCAATAGTGACCCTGTTGGCACTGACCCATAACAACCCTTTATAGGGTTTTTAAGAAGTGGCTGGTGAGCATGAACCACTGCCCTTGTGGGTCAAACTGACTTTGCAGTCCAGAGCATTAACCCATAGTGCCACACCAGGACTCCAATATATAGCAAAGGCGAATATTTATTTGTGATAATTAATATATATAATTTAAGGAATTCTAGATGGATTGGCAAAGTGGCAGCATCAATAGGCTCGAGTGTGGCAGCAATAGTGAGGTTGGCACAGGACCAAGAAGTGTTTCATTCTGCTGTGCATAAGGTCTCTGTGAATTGGTACCAACTCGATGGCACCTAACAACAACAACAACATGATTGTGTTATAATCACATAGTCTGTTTATTTGAGCACATGTTTTATCTGGCCAACAGTTAGTCAATCAGTGACTGTCTCACACTTAATCTAGATGACCCTGGCAGGAGACAAGGGAAAGAACATTCTGAATTCCAACATCAAGACGGTAATGTCACTGAGAGGAAGACTTTTGACCCATCCTAACTAAACTCTGCAACAGTTTGTATATGGTCCTAGAATATCGTGGCCTATAAGCTGGAGATGTATCAGAACATCCTACAGGGTAATTTGCTTGTTGTCTGATAAAATTTCACTTTTTCTCAGTTGGAAGTGGACATCCTACTATATGATCTATCCAGTTTGAGAAGAATCAGACCTTTTTTATTTCTCCTCTTTGAGCAATATGTTATTGGTCTTCATTATTTTAATTCTCAGGTTCAATAGAATTAAGTGGTATAAGAAGAGGCAGAGATAAATTACAAAGGAGAGAATATTCCAGTCTCATTTCAATTCTCTATGTACTTTGTTCAGTAATCACAAGTGGAAAACAAAGAGAAGTAGATGAATCTGTGCAATCTTTTGAGCAGTAGGGCAAGTGAGGCACAAAGAGCCTGCAAATGTATTAATTTCACTTACAATACTACACAAGTATCCAGCAATGGTTATATAAGAAGCACCTAAAAACCTATGCCAAATGACAGGAGTGAACACTCACATATGATTGGGAACATCAGTAGTGCCTGGCCCTTGAAAGATGGACAGAATCATCAATAAACACCGGTGTGGAGTGCTAGGCTATCATTCCATATTTTAGATTGTGGAGACCCCTGAGCAGGCAGGAAGAGAGGTTGGATTATCAGTGGTTCTCACCTGGGGATCTTACTGCTATTTTAAGAAGCATCTGGAAATGTGAGGAGACAGTTTCGTTGTTAAAGTAAAGCTCTTTTCTCCATTAATAATACCCTACTTTTTTTAAGCACCTGCTTCTCTCTTGGACTTCATTCATACTACTTTACCCCACACACAACACACCAGTCATTTATGTCTGTGGTAGGGCTTTGCACTCATAGTTTTTTCTACTTGAATGTTTTTACCTCAGATTTGTATAAGCTTTGTCATTCAAGCCTCAGCTCAAATATTACGCTTTTAAAGAGGAATTTCAGGACTATCTGTTGTACTGTACACTGCTCTGTCCCCATTTTATCTTTTTGCCAGCACTTACTCTCTGAACATTTCATTATAATATTTGACTTTGCCTTCTCGAGCTGACCTTTGAAACTTTCTGTTCAGCTCTTGGACCTCCTCATTTCTTCCATTTGCTTTAGCATCTCTACGCTGGAGAGCAAGTTTCCGTGTTTCTTCTGACATCCATTTT